GTACCTTAATTAGGTACAGAGACCTTAGTATGGTTCACAGACCGAGAATCATTAGTTTATTTACGACTATTATAGGTGTTCCATATTTACCTCTAATAGGTTTATAAACCATAGTTTTTTCTCAGTGTGGTATTTCCATGTTTATTTACTTCCATTGGAGGAATGAATCAGGACAGCATTAGGGATGACGAAATGTGGCCGAGAGATTTCCTCAATTTATATTCTTAGGGGACCTCTGATCCTGACGCCGCGCTGGACACGAACAACGACCTTGGCCTCCTCACTGGCGACCTTGATCGGGTGGGAGCTGGGAGCAGAGGGAAACGATGATTTCCTAATCCCAACCCCTGGCTCCCGTCGTCGCTTGGCAACGGGTCCACGAATAAGCGGGGCTTACAACGGCCCTACACGATTTTGGAAGAGGAATCTGGAAACTTGTCGCCCAAAAAAGGAGATAAATCTAGGACCGGGAACCTATTTTGACAATTCGATTTCGATATGGCGCACAGGATGATTCAGGATTAGATGCGAGGATTTCAGGACCTCATTTATATATTAAAATAAAAATTTCATGTGGTGCAACTTTAACTCCAAAACAGTTTATTCTCAGAGGTAAAGCTGTATCCCCGTATTTCGAGACGTTATGATTTTTTTGGAGTATGGTGGTTTTGGGTCTCAGTCGCGGCAAATACGCGATTTATCAGCGGTTTTGTCTGAGAATAAAAATTACGCGAACTGCGCCCCAATATTGCGGCAAGAATACTCAGGAGTTTAAATAGCCGCAAGTCTTATTTTCACACTTAACGATGCGAGCTTAATACCTACATTCATAGAGTCGGTAATTTGGGACAGGGGAAATGGTGAGATTTTCCTTCAATATTGCGTGATACTACATACCTACTCCGGAGTTCGAATAGTTGCTCGCTTGATTTCCGCATTTAACCTTTATTCCTTCATTCGTAAACGTCAGTAATTTGAAACAGGGGAGAAACTAAGATTTTCCTTCATTTTCGCGTTATACCGCATGAATACTTCGGAGTTCGAAAAGTTGCGCACTTAGTGTCAGCTTTGACCAGTGTTTTGACTCATTGAACATTGTTATGCAAATATCTTTGAACTTTAAAAATTACACGATTTTTCCTGCGTTTCCAGACAAAAGAAATTATACGAGATTTTCATCATAGTATCGCGGAAAAACCGCGATTTTTCCAGCAGTCTTGTGATAAAATATAAAATTACGCATTACTCTGAATAAGTATGTTACATCCCAAATTTTTGAAGCACTTCAATAAGATAAAAAGAATGCATTTGAAAAAATGGAGTAGTTTCACTTTTTAACTTGACTTAAGCTTTTACAGTCCTATTGGGGTTGAGATGTTCCTTTACTTTCAATTATGACAGGTGCTAAAAGTGCAAAGTAGGTGTATACGTTTCCGAACATTTACACAAATACATAGCTCTTGAAACCAAGAGCTCTCGTCTAAAATTTACACTTACTTGTCCAAAGTGAGCAGCAGGATTTGAGTAGCCAGGAAGAGCAGCTTCTTGAAAGAAAATACTCAGCGCCGTCTGTGAACAAAAAGTTTTAAACAAATTAGGGCTGCTTTGCTAAGGCGCACTTTTTGCTTCATTATAAATAACCACCTAGCGGTAAGTTCGACGATATACAATGATGGACAAAAGGCCTCATCTTAAGCACATCTTGAAATGCTATTCGAATGGACTTAACCTTCCCAAATAGCGACGACAATTCTGCCGTGCTATGGAAAAACGCCGTATGAGCCTTTTGACTCTGCCAGATTTCCTTCACTAAAAACCAAATTAACTAATAAAATTTTGAATACTTTGTTCCAAAATGTTCAGACAATTTTGTACGCAATTTAATCTAAATTTTCTGAAAATTTCAAATAAAAATATGCATGAATGTCGTCAAAAATACATGGTTTGTCAAGGGTAGTTTGGCAACTATCAAATGTTCATACTGCGTTCTTCCTTAGAACGGTAGAATGGACCACTAGACAAGGTACGAATTTCAGCATTCTGATACATGTTTCTTAACTAAAATTTCACGTAGAACACGATGCGCACATAGAAAATTACCGAAATTAACTCCTTACTAAGATATTTGATGATTCTTGATGTGTGAATTCAAACCACCCGCTCATGAAAACTCAATGCTCTACGTGATTCACATCGCGCGCTAAACGTTATCATGACAGTCTCTGCGATGTAAAAATCTGGCAACCTCAATCTTGACGCTTTGGCTCAGCTGTAGCAAATAGCTTATAGTTTGAACAACACATGGTGGAAAATGAACATTGCTCAATTGAGAGGCTTGCTGAAACCGTTGTAGTGCGCGATTTGACTCACGTAGAGCTCTGAGTTTCTTGTGAGTGAGCAGTTCAAATTCCTTGTAGCCAATGTGAAATAAAAACGTTAATATCTTTGTTAGGAGTTGGTTTCAGTAATTTTCGTTGTAAGAATCGTGTTTTACATGAAATTCTGATTAAGAAACATGTTTCAGATTGCTTAAATTCGTACCTTGTCTAGTGGTCCATTGACGGCAAAATAAGTGGGGCCGTTCACAAAAGAAAGGGCCTAAGATCACGGGGACAAGATTTACGATACAGCGATTTTTAAAATGTATAGTTGTGTAGAAAAACCGGACTTTAAGACATCAACGGACAACTCTCGTGTGACCATAAAATTGAGAAACGAGTGGTTAAGTTTACTTTTTTATCGACAAAGGGCTTTTACTTGCATTCCGCGAATCCGGCAATTTTGTGATATGAACTTGACGATCGAATTTGCAACAGCCTCCTCTAAAAACTACGCTCTTTGAACAACGAACTTCAAACCACCATTACGGAGGGGCAAAATTTACGTGATCATAAGATCCGTAAATTGTGTGATCGGTGAGGTAATGTTTGGCCAAAACCACCGAAAAAAATTCTTCGGAGAAATTTCTACGATTTATTGATTTTTTTTTTTCCACTTTGAAGGAAACTCTTTCAGCACTCCCGGTGGAATTTTTGCAAGTAAAGAAACAAAGCGAGAGTGGGGGAGAGAGAAAGAGAAAACAGATATATCACCTGGAAAATTTTGGGAAAATGAGGAAATTTTTCGAAAGCGCGCGGGGAAAAACCACGCATAGAAAAAAAATTAGGAATTTTTCAGCCATTCCTGGCTGATTTTGGCGCCAACCAGAAGTGAGGTTGCAATTACATTAATATGAATTTAAAAAAAAAAAAAAAAAAAAAAAAAAAAAAAAAACAGTAGAAGAAGCTGTACGAGAGGGTGTGATGGTGTGTGCGTGAGAGACAACGGAAGCTGTTGCGGTTGCCCTAACTGCGTGGGCAAAATGTAAACAAACCTGCGCAATCGAACAATAATACGGATCGGCTGCTATTTTCGTTTTCCTCGAGACCCGGACCCGGTTCAAGGTCATTCGGCACCTCCATCAGAGCTCCTCCACGCCACGGTTCGCGAATACGTCATTGCCCGCACCGTATATTTCTCTCGGACAAAGGACGTAAAACGCACAAAAAAAGGGGATTGAGTTTGGTTCGAGTGAAGTTGCGGATCACTCCAACGCAGAATTATTGCAAAGATACAGCCGTTGTCAAGGAGCTATTTTTGCAACATGATTTCCTATCTCTTTTAATTTTTTCTAAATGAGCACAATATTTTCACATCATTGAATCAATAAATGCCGATTTAAACGTCCAGATGAAAGGATGGACCCAATGCCGATTTAAACGTCTAGATGAAAGGATGAGCCCAATGCCGATTTAAACGTCTAGATGAAAGGATGAACGATGGGCAGTTTGCAATGCAAAAAAATGTAAACTTATTCCAATTTCATTGCGATTAATTTCTACAGGAGGATCTCCTTCAATTAGTAGATAGGCAACATACGCAACAATCCGATGCAGAATTTTATTGCAGGCCTACTTCCTAATTGAGGGTGCAGTCAAGGCTTCCACCGCATGTATCGACTTCTGATTAGCGATGGGCTTTCGGTTGACTTTACCGATAGCCCTGCATAGACGATCAAATTCCGAACCAATTCCGATCAAAGTAGACATGCTGATGACTGGTGGTCACCATCAACCATCAAATTTTGACGGGCCGCACTTTTTTGTTCAAAGTAAGATCAGAACGGAGTGCCACCATTCATCATTTCCTGCCACAGGAAACATTTCTGCCAAGTTTTCATTTTAAAATGAAGCAAATTAATGAGTTTAGGACTGATGACTCCCGACACTTTGATGCTACTTTGATCGGAATTGGTTCAGGAATTTGATCGTCTTATCGAGGCCTGATGAGGTAAACGGAAACTTCTTGATGGTTGATGCTTTCGCGGATGAATTTTTCCTCAAATTATTGATTGATAGCGAATGAGAGCTAGTAAAATTCAAGAGCCCAATCTTTAACCTGGAGCAAATGCTTGTTTTTCCTGTCTCAGAGAGCTTCTGCATTTCTCTTTCCCTGACTCAGGCATTATTATTGATGAAGCCGGCCTTTAAACGGCTGTTCTCCTAGTTAGGCTGTAGGTAATCAGCCTCGTAAAAAAGAGTGGCAAAGCATGAATCATCAGCTATCGATTTATTCCCGTTTGAGACAAAAGCCAAGAGTCGATTATTAAAGTATACCATGATAATCGGTCCTTATCTGTAGGTTTAAATGGCAGATCAAACCATTTATCGTAAAACGCGACACGCCACTGGGTAGAAAATGTATGAAAATCGTCTCGAAATCGCGAACTTCATATGCGCTTCAGTTCTGTATCCTCCGTGCTTTCTACCTCTACCTCGATATCTTCCTCCACGCTTGTTGCTTCCAAATAATTGGACTTTATTTTGCAACGGGCCATTACACAAGGTCCGGAATGGGAGAAAACATCGCATGTTTTTTCTTCAAAATCTTACCTAGAAAACAATTGACACAACGAGAAGTTTTGAAATCAACCCCTGAACAAAATATAAGGAAGTCTTTTGAACAGAGATCAAACGGGATTTCGATTATAAAAATGGCGTCATTTGTATTTTTGCCATTCAACAAATAGAAAATATATCTTGGTCAGGAGTTGATTTTCAGACTTACCATTGTGTGATTCGTTTTCCCTGTGGAATTTGAGGAGGAACACGTAGTTCTGTGCTTTGATTCATACCTTGTCTAGAAGTCAATTAAGAACTACCACTTCCGACTAAGTTTAGAACCAACGTATGGACCAATAATGTCTCTATGGATATTAGTGTTTTTAAAAATAAACCATACATTGTAGTTCCAAATTGTAGTCCAAAACTATGAGTAATATATGTAGAAACTGAATGCAATTACTGTTCTCGCCAAATATTGAGTTAATGAATACAGTTACACCCTACTTGTCCCTGCCGAGTTGAAATGATAATCCATGTGGTATTTATAAATTGTATACTAGCAAAACAGCAACTTAATTCCACCTGGCCACCACCACCTGTGTTTTTATATGATGATCATCGTGCACCGGTTGAGAAATTCAGAGTGGATACGTAAGGAGGTTGACTAGGGCGGCTCTTTCAAGTCTTTTACACAGCCAATTACAGGCACTTAACGTCTTATTACCCACAAAGCGCGGCGCGTCGCGGAACCGGGAGCCCATCTGAAGGCAGACAGAGCGAGCGCCTTCATTTACTTGACTATGCAATATAGGCTACCGCAGAGCACGAATAGTTGCATGAGCGCCGCGCGCAACTTCTTTTCTCCAACTCCGAAGATGAATGGGGTAAATGGACAGGGTGTCCGTCTACTAAAACAGGTTGGCCAAAAATCAGTACTTTTTCAGTGCATTCCTCTAGGCTCGATTCATTCTAAAGCAGCGTTCCTAAAGCAACGATTCATTCTCAATTGTATCGACCAAGGTTTTATTTACTAAAAAAAATCCATAATTCTGTAGTTTGAAATTTTTGGTTGAGAATGATTCTGTCGGCTCATGCGCAGGAGCTACCTCCCTTTTATTGGCTGAAAATTCCAAATCGGCAGAGATTTGCTACTTAATCAACGCGACATATCGGACGCTAGTCAGGGTGTTTACTAAAACAGGCGGGCCATAAATCAGTACTTTTTCAGTACATTCCCAAACAATTCAGTACCTCATCAATAGAAAAATTCAGTACTTTTTCAGTACCTCTATTTGACGAAATTTGAATTTCTCGCTCATATTGAGACAGAAATGACAAAAAAATGAAAAAAATTCCTGACTTTTTGCGGGATTTCCGCACTTTTTCAGTACTTCCGGAGCCCCCTTAAAATATCGGTACTATTTCCGGACTTTCCGAAAATTCCGGACTTGTAGACACCTTGCTAGTTCAACCACGCCAGAATCCGGGACGAATCAGCTTAAAATGAAAATGTAAGAGAGAATCTATTCAGAGCACAGAAATTCATCTCGCTCGGAAATTATTCCAGGGAAACTCTAATTTTATCGTAAGCTAGGGACGTCACGCAAGTAACAAGAGACAAAGCATCAGTCGACAACCTAGATCGCCGCGTGTAAGAATGCGAAAAAAGTAAATATTAAAAAAAGC